TCTGAGCTGTCTGCATAGAGCCCAATGCGAGGCTCAAACCCGTGAACTGTGAATTCATGACCTGAGCCAAAGTTGGATGCTCAACTGACTGGGTCACCCAGGTGCCCTGAGTTTTACCTGACCTTTAAAAAAATAATAATTTCTAAACCAACAAGAAAATAGAAAAAAAAGAGAAGAAAAAGAATTTTAAAAAGTAAAAAAATTTTAAAACAAGTAATTTCTAAGGGTAATTACATTGTTCCAGGCCAGACAAAAAGAGAAGTACACTGCAATTCAATTTTAATCCTTACTGCTGATGAACAGAATCCCCAAAAATGATTCCCATCTTGCTTATGAATACTGAGACAAGGCTTCTAAATAAAGGATTGACAGGAGCGTCTGGGTGGCTCAGTCAGTTGAGTGTCCAATTTCGGCTCAGGTCATGATCTCACAGTCCATGAGTTCTAGCCCCACATGGGGCTCTGTGCTGACAGCTCAGAGCCTGGACCCTGGTTCAGATTCTGTGTCTCCCTCTTTCTCTGCCCCTCCCTTGCTCGTGTCTTTGACTCAAAAATAAATAATAAAATAAAATAAAAATAGTAAATAAAGGATTGACAAATTAAATCCAGAAATGGAGCAAAATAATATAGTATGAGCAGCAGGACTTACTTCAGCATGTTAACAGTAGTTCAGAACCAGAATATTTATGAACATAGGGCATTGTATCAAAAACTTAAATGAAAAAGAAACCCATACTCAACAGACATAGAAAAAGCATTTGAGGGGCACCTGGGTGGCTCAGTCAGTTGACCATCTGACTTCAGCTCAGATCATGATCTCATGCAGTTCATGAGTTGCACTGTTAGCACAGAGCCCACTTTGGATCCTCTGTATCCCTGTATCTCTCTCTCTCACCCTTCCCCACTTACAGGCATGCACACACAAGCGCTCTCTCTCTCTCTCTCAAAACTAAATAAACATTTTGTAAAATTATAAGAGGGGAGACTGGGTGGCTCACTCAGTTAAGCATCTGACTTCAGATCAGGTCATGTCTCATAGTTCATGTGTTCAAGCCCCACATCAGCTCTGTACTGACAGCTGGGAGCCTGGAGACTGCTTCATATTCTGTGTCTCCCTCTCTCTCTGCCCCTTCCCAATTGCATGCTTACTTGCTCGCTCTCTCTCTCTCAAAAATAAATAAATATTAAAAAATGACAAAAATATAATAATAATAATAATAAATTTAAAATTAAAAGAAAAAGCATTTGATAAAATGCAGGAACTGTTTACTTGGAAATTCTCTAAGTTAATGCGGCATTTACAGGCAATAGACTAACATACACTAACAGCAAACAGGGAGAAACATAGAGAGCATCTCCATTTAAGATCAGTTTTACAGGGGTGCCTGAGTGGCTCAGTCGGTTAAACAGCTAACTTTAGCTCAGGTCATGATCTCGCGGTTCATCATAATCTTGCGGTTCTTGAGTTTGAGCCCCGCATCCGGCTCTGTGCTGACAGCTCAGAGGCTGGAGCCTGCCTCAGACTCTGTGTCTCCTTCTGCCCCTCCCCTGCTCGCTTTCTCTCTCTCTCTCTCTCTCTCTCTCTCTCTCAAGAATAAAATAAACATTAAAATTTTAAAAAAAGATCAGTTTTACACACAGCTGCCCACCAGCACAATTTTTATTTAACTCTGAGTTTCAAGGAAAAGCAATAACCAAAGTAAATAGCTGGTATAACCACTGCAGAGACCACATAAAATGAAAATCAATTTTACCAAAACTAACAAGAGAATCTGGTAGGATGGCTAGATCTTAGAACTATTGCTCAAATCAACAACCTTCTTCTAGCAAGAAGCAGTTAGGAATGGAAAGGAGAACATTCTTCAACTCGTCAGGGACAGAAAAGCTATTAATTCTTTAGGAATAAATGTATGAAGAAAGGCATAAAATGAGATCTGAACAGATAGAAAGAAATACCATTTCTTCGATGAAAATACCTACATAATTTTCGAACATCAATTCTCACAAAACTGAAACATACGTTTAATGCAATTCTAATTAGAATCTAAATAGGGCTGATGGAGAGTGTTGAATAAAAGTGATCTTAAAATTTACATGTAAGAAAAAAAACGGCAATGAATAGCCAAGAAAAAAAATTTTTTTACACTAACAAATCAACAAAATCATTTAAGTAATCAAATCAACATGATTTGAGTAGACAGCTACATGAAATAAAGAGTCCATGAATAGATCCTTGTATATGAAAGTTTAGGAGGTGACAAAAATGGCAGTTCAGTTCACAGAGGAAAGTAGGGATTATGTAATATATCATGCTAGTACCACTACCTAGCCATCTTCAAGAAAATCATCTTAACCAAGGCTGGGAACCCAGAAGCTACAATAATATTTGAGTATGCAAAAATGTAAAACAAATCACATAGAAAAATATCCTATCAGCCAAGTCAGTACATATAGATCTGAAAAAGGTATCTATAATGATGCCGATAGGCAAAGGGCCAATATAGAAAATATACAAATAAGTCTTACAAATGAAGAAAAATCTAAACAACCCATAAGAAATGGGCAGATGGTATGAACAGACAATTTAAAGAGCAAATTTAACTGGATAAAAAAATATGAGATAATACTGAAATTCATTAGTAGTTAAGGAAACACATCCATTAAGTTGTCAAAATTATAAAAGAGTCATAACACCTTATGCTGGCACAGGTATGAAGAAAATAATAATCTCATGTATTACATATAAAAGGGAAAAAGTGAATTATAACAGCCTGTTTTTATATATCAGAATGGAAAGGTCTATTAACATAAATATGTATGTTTATTTGTAAACATTCATGTGTGTGTATGAATATAAATTAGAAGCATCAGTATATAAGTGCATATGCAAAATGATGTTGATTTCAGCATTGATTATAGTGGCAGCATCCTAGAAAGAACAAATGTAAACATTCATTAACAGAAGAATTGCTGCAGGTGCCTGGCTGGCCAGGTCGATGGAGCACGAAACTCTTGATTTCGAGATAGTAGGTTCCAGCCCAATAGAGGGTGTAGGGATTACTTAAAAATAAAATTTTTTAAAAAATGAAGACGAATGGCTGCCTACGTAAGTTGTATACCCATGAAATATTTGGCAGCTTTGTAAAAGAATAAGGTATACCAATAAATTTTGATATATTCCCATGAGATATCGCTGAGTGAAAAAGCAAGATTACAGTATACAGAAGATTCTATTTTTGTAAAACAATCAATGAACAACAGCAAAACATTACAAAACCCCTGTGTATCGGCATGCATGTGTGTGCATGTGTGTGTGCGTGTGTGCGTGTGTACATACCTATGAGCAAGGAAAAAATACAGAAGGATATATACTGGTTAGGTAATATGTGGGTGTGGAAAGGTAGAGGTAGGATCCAAACAAAATAAAGAAAACAAAGAAGGAAAAAAGAACGCCTATTTAAAAAAAGAAATCTAGCTTTGGGGCGCCTGGGTGGCTTAGTCGGTTAAGCGTCCGACTTTCGCTTAGGTCATGATCTCGCAGTTCGTGGGTTCGAGCCCCGCGTCGGGCCCTGTGCTGACTGCCAGCTCGGAGCCTGGAGCCTGTTTCAGTCTGTGTCTCCCTCTCTCTCTGACCCTCCCCCGCTCACGCTGTCTCTCTCTCTCTCCTAGAAATAAATAAAAAACATTTAAAAAAAAAAAAAAAAAGAAATCTAGCAATCATGTTTATGTATTTTCATATGTATACATGTATATACAAATTGAATTAAATTTAGAAAAGATATAGTAAGAATCCTAAATATGATGTCTGCTCATTTAAAAAAAAAATGCAGTAACCAAAATTATTTCTTGGTGGTAGATTAAGTGTGATGCCTATTTTCTTCTTTACGTGTCTCTGTATTTTCTAAAATGAGAATTGTTACTTTAATAATAATGAAATAAAACCAATAAATGTTACTTTCAAAACATTACACTGAAAAATTGAGCTCATTTTGGGAAATCAAGGGAGGCAAACAGGGCTAAATAGCCTCCCATTTAGGATACAAGAAATCAGGATCCATTTGCCCTATCCAGCAGAAAGCTACTCACCTAAGGCAAGAGACTAAGTGGCTATTCCAATGAGCTGTTTGAAGCAGTAAATGGGGTATATTTCCCCCTACCTAACACATTAACGACTTAAGTAAATCAGAAAGCCATTTACACTACTCTCAATTACCCAAGGATCTGCTGGGCCCCTTATTTCCTGTCTCCTCCCTCTGGCCTGTGGCCATTTCACTGCTCGGGAATAGCTCCAAAATGGGGGCCAGAGAAGGAGGAAAGAGATGAAATTAATGCAGTTGATTTAGCTTCTCATTAGCAACTCCAATAAAAGGCTTGATAAGTGAGATGGTCACAACTCGCGGTTAAAAGGCAGGTTCCGGGACTCCTGAGAATTTCACCGAAGCAAATTTGCCTTTGGATAAACATGATTTGCCTATAATAAACTTTAATGAATTCAAAGCTTGCTATTTTTAAGAAAGTCAGTACTTGTATAAGGTGATATTTTTCTCTCCTCACTTTAATTTGCACTTTTAAGAAAAAAAAACAAAAACACACGGAAACATACGAACAAAGGCCTTCCAAGTGAAGGACCATATTCTCAGTGGAGCAGCTGGACCAAAGTACAATGATTCCTGAGAGGAGGGAAGCTGTCTGGCCCCAGCATGCTCTCAAGAGAAACTGTAGGAAGCCAGCAACCTTCCAAGCGAGCAGGCCTTGGCCATAAACTACCACCTCAAACACTCGCTAAAAAGGACTTGTCAGGGCCTGGCAAAAGCCAAGTCTCTCCACATAAGATTTCCGTGTTTCATTGGGCCATGTAGACTTTTGTCCCTTAGGAAGCCCCCAGACAAAGTGGTGCAGGCCCAAGATGTTTCCAGTGATGTGCTCATCACCCTTTGTTATGAAACAGACAGAATGTTCTGAATAGCAATGGCAACAGAGCAAAAAACAATCGTCCCTTACTTGAATACAACGATAGCTCCAGGACACGGAGGGCAGGCCAAGAGAAAGATCTGCAAGTAAAAAAGAATTAGGGATGGTTATCAGGAGGAATATTGTACACAGTTAGAAAATGTTAGTTCAATAATAACAGTAATAATGGTGATTAACAGTACCAATAAATAACCAAACTCTAACATAAAAAACGCAATATAAAAACTTAGGCAAGCAGGTGGTCTTCCAAACATATTTCTGTTTGCACAGGCATCTGGGTGTGTGGATAGGGGTGTGTGTGTGTGTGTGTGTGTGTGTGTGTGTGTGTTAGACTTGGGGAAAGGAAGAGAGACAGAGAGTGAGGGAATGCTTGGGGTAAGATGGGCAAAGTCTTTCTTAGGCCCTTTTAGCCTCTAGAACACTTGCTCTTGACCTCTAGAAGACTCAATTTTTCAACTCTATATCAACTACTACATGATATAGTAGTCAGTCTGAGAAGCTTTTAACCCAGGACAAACAAAAATATATTCTATGAATGGGACAAAATACAAAAATGCCATCTGGTTTGCCTCCCACGGAGGAAGGTAGACTAATCAATACCCAGCACAGCTAGATTTAGCAAATAAAAAATACGGGAGGCCAAGTTAAACTTGAATTTCAGATAAACAATGAATAATGTTTTTGTGTAAGTATGTTCCATGAAATATTTGCGATATACTTATATAAACACATTATTCATTGTTTACCTGAAAAATTCAAATCTAACTGTGTCTCCTGTATTCTACCTGGCCACTCTACCAATGTTGTCACCCCCAGGCTCTAAACCTCTCTGATTTTGAAGGGGAACAAATTTTGCCACCCTGAAATATGTCTCTTTGGCATAAGGATGATTTTAAGTTGGTTATTTTTTTTTAAGAAACAGAAGACATAGGAAAAGCTCTGAAAAGTGAGAAGTTTACCCTTCCATAGGAGACATGTACATTTATAAGGGAAATCTCCATTTGTAAGAATGACTCCCCCTCTGTACCAGGAAAAGGAGCATGATTCAGACTCTAGAAAGTCTTATCAATGGAGACGACTCTGACCACAACCTGCATAATGACCTTACCCTTGATTACCATGCTCTTCCTGGTCTCCTCCCATAACTGACCTTCTGCCCTACACAAGCCCCACCACCCAACATCTTTCAGTTTGTCTCTAACCCATGGATGGGATTTAAGATGGTGGCTTGGGCCATTTCAGGGAGTTACTCCATTTTCTTGGGTCTCTCCCATGTATACAGGAGGGTATACATGCTATTAAACCTCCATTTGTTTTTCTCCTGCTAATCGGTCTTTTATTATGTGATGGAGGGAGGGGAGGAGGGAGGGGGTAGTCACAGCCAAGAGCCTAGAGTGGTAGAGGGAAAGTTATTTTTCTGCCCCACATTTGACTGGCTTCTTTCTAACCAGGGAGTTCTACTCTTCTAATCCCCTCCCCGGGCAAACCAAACAAAAAAGAACCTCATCCGGGGTACCTGGGTGGCTCAGTTCGTTAAGCTTCCAACGTTGGCTCAGGTCAAGATCTCATGGCTCATAAGTTCGAACCCTGACAGCTCAGACCCCAGAGCCTGTTATGGATTCTGTGTCTCCCTCTCTCTCTGCCATCCCTCCCCATTCATGCTTTGTCCCTCTCTCTCAACAATAAAGATTAAAAAAAAATTTTTTTAAAGAACCTTATCCTTCTAAGAGACTAATCAGTCCCATGCTACTTGATTTGACCTAGGCCTGAGTTATAGAAAAACTGCATCCGTGACAGTTTGACCTTCATCAAAGCACTGGTTCTCAAGAGGGACAAAGAAACCCCTATGCAGATTCCTGGCTGCCCCATTAGGAATGCAGACTCCAAAAGTCTGGGACTCCAGGAATCTGTGTGTTTAACAAATGCCCCGGGGAGATTCAACCACTCATGGCAACCAGATAAGATGACTATTTGACCTTGTCCTGGACTACTACAGGAATCAGAGACATTGAGCAGGACTAAGGATTGATGAAAGAGAGAAACACACGTTTGTGGAGTTCCTTCCTCTACAGTGATTTAATGGTGTGGTTTGCAAAGTAATGGATCTGTGTCCCTATCTTGTTGTGAGCATGTATTAAAAAAGGTTATCTGCATTATGCATTTGTTTGGCTTTGCCATGTGTATATACTTTAGCATTTGGCTCTTTGGTTCTCTTGAAATCTACATTTAGAAGTAAACAGCACTATAAGAAAAGTCACTACAAAGAAACATACCTGCTTGAATCCCTACCAGAAGGAAGAGAAAAGAAGAAAAGAGAAAGGGTCTTAAAAAGGATGTGGCCAGGAATCCATCACCCACAAAATACCTGAGCAGAGAACCCAGCCAAGGAAATCCACCAAGAAGGGGCCTTTCCCCCTGTGGATCAGTTTGAATAAAAGTGCAAAACCAATGACAATTACGGGTCCATAATACTTCATCAGCAATCACCAAACCCAAAGGGCTCTAAAAATCAAGTCAGATGTTTTTTTCAAAGCTAATTTGGTAGCAAGTATAACTTGAGTGGATTTGAGACTATTTATAGACTTTCTTTATACCATTTATGCTGAGCATTCATATGACTTCCATAAAAATAATATCTTCTGATTATGAGGTGCTACCATAGATCCCACTGAAGGTAGACGTAAAATACTCCCCACTCACTGTATTGCTTTTCTAATTTTTTTCAAGTAAATCCACTGTGGGGCTTGGTCTCATGATCCCAGGATCAAGAGTTGCATGCTCTATGGACTGAGTCAGCCAGGTACCCCTGTGTTTCCTTTCTGAAATCCAGAAATTTCTAACTTCTGAAATACATCTGACCCGAATGATTTGAGATAAGGACTGTCAGTTTTGAGTTTCAATCATCCAAACATTAATTTATCCCTACTCCCCACTCCACCCTTCAGTAGCAGTCCAAGAAAGAGTGAAAGCTGGTATTCTCTACCACTTACCCTGCAGCAAAGCTACTCATCTTAAGCAAGGGACTGAGATGGAGGTTTGCACACAGTTACCCAGCACTGAACCCATCAAAAACTACACTCACAATATATAGTATACAGAGAGCAGATAGGAGCCCCCAGCCACCTTGAAAAGGTCCTCAATACTTCTGGAGTCCCCTAAGAGCCATGATAGAAGCCTTCCTGAGTTTCTGGAATAGCTAAGATACTTCATGCCAACATGCTCAACAGAGAAGCAAAAATACAACACTGGGCCCCACAGTTAACTCCTAGTTTTCCCACAGCCAAGAACAGATGAGCAGATTACTGGGGCAGATTTCCCTCTAACTGCTCCATTTGACTGGTTCGGATTCATGACTGCCCTGTGCCAAAAGCCCAGAAGCCTACTAAAGGGAGGGAGGCCTCCAGTCGCAACCCAATGATGGGTCTAATTCCACTAGAGGCAGCTAATCAATCTAGTTTTGACCCTAAATGAGTTTCCCAACCAACAGTTACTTGACCCAATAGAACACAGGGAGTCACCCCAATGGCCCCACACCTGTACCACCACACAGCTCACAAGATGCAGTCACCGAAAGGTAAGGCATCTCCAAACACAACCTAACCAGGCAGCAAGTTATGTTTACACAAATGGGTTTCAGAGTTCAGCATTTCCTAAAGATGTGCTCACCTTATCTCCACCCCACCTCACTCAGAACTAGGTCTGCTGGGTTCTGATACTTCTTGGATCCTTTTTTTTAAGTGTATTTATTTATTGTTGAGAGAAAGAGAGAGTGGGACAGGGACAGAAACAGAGAGCAAGTAGGGGAGGGGCAGAGAGAAAGGGAGACACAGAGAATCTCAAGCAGGCTCCACACTGCCAGCGTAGAGCTGGACTCAGGGCTGGAACTCATGAACTGTGAGACCATGACCTGAGCCGCGACCAAGAGTCAGACACTTTAACTGACTGAGCCACCCAGGCACCCCTTCTCCTTGGATCCTTATAAAACTGAAGTCTTTTTCTGGAGAAAAAAAAATGCATGGGTTCCATTCAAAACCATACCCTCTCAGATTTCCCAGGAAAGCTCCCTGTACTACTCCAAGGCTCTTCCTCCCAGCGATAAAAAGAAAGCCAGAGGCCCAAGGTAGAGTCACTCACCCCCAGGATAGCAAACCAAGGCTTACGGGCAGTTGCAGCTTCCCTAGTAGAATGTTAAGCCAATCATCTGGAATTTTTCTGGTCCATACCAACTAGATACTTTATTCCCCAAAGGAAGATGACCCAATAATCCACCTAATAAAGACTCTCTGCCCTTCCCCCTAAGGGAAGGTGATCTTGCCTGAAACAATGCTTTCTTCTCTTTTTTTCCCCTTTGCTAATAACCTCCGTGCTTCACCCCACTTGCTATAAAACCAACCATTCTGTACAACTCCCCTCCCTTGCTAGATGGGATGCTGCCTGATTCATGGATCTCTTAATAAAGCCAATTCGATCCTCAAACTTACCCTGCTGACTTTTGTTCTTTAACAATGAAAATGTGTCATTTCTGCTCTTTGAAAATTATTCAACCTAGGCAAGCTGTCCTCGTTCACCCTCTACCTCTGAGTAGCTCTGGGTCCAGGTTCCCACCTTCCCCACCCAAAGCACCTCTCAGATATCACTTGTCCTACCTACCTGTTCCCGTTCCCACAGGTACACCAGCCCGAAGTTCATTGGCATTACTGTCCAGCCTCCCCTCAACTGCTTCACCCCAGCATTAGGTCTGATAAACCCCCACTTTCCTAACACCTAACGAAGATTAGTTTTTGTTCACAGGAAGAGGTGTGAGTACACTGGCAATGTAAATGGGAAGAAGGGCCGGTCGCCGTAAATGAGGGACTCGCCATGTAAAGCAGTGAAGAAGGGGGGTAAACTAAATGAAAGGGAAACAGTGAGAGAGGGCTCTTATTCTCCTGATTCCGCCTCCATTGATCCTATGATGGTACATAATAAATATTTAGCGATTTCCCAGCACCTATAACACTTATCCACCACTGGGAAGGTCCATTCCTCTGACTGCCCAAAGTCTGTTCTAGGCTCTATTTACTAATTATCATACTCTTGG